TGTGTGTGTGTGTGTGTGTGTGTAAATAAACAAAAATAATAACATTAAATAAAACGAAAAAAAAAAACAAAGAAGAAACGTCACAGCAACAAGTTTGTATACCGGTTCACAGTTAATTTACAACAAAACAACAAACAACAACGACAACTTCCAGATGTTTATAAGCTAAAATGCGGAGATTTTTCGCAGAAATTGTCCATTTGCATAATTCAAATTTGACGTTAGCAAACACAGACACCTTGCATATTTAGTATGCAGTTAAATGCAGGTTAAATATATACATACATATGTACATACTTACGTATATAATAATGTATAAAAATGCACCAGTTTTCTAAAAATGTGGGTAAATCCCCCATGAAGATAATTTTTTTTTTATTTTTTTAATTATGTATCAAATTATGGTTAAATTAATTTGCAATTATTTTTATTACGACTAATGTGTGTGTCTTTGTGGTTGTAGAAAACGTGAGGAGCGTACTTGCAAAGCGAAAAGAAGAATCAGAATTACACTTGCACTTTGTATGACCTTAACTCTGCTAATTTTCCCTCTGTGATACAGTGAAGTGAAAATATTATTTTAATAATAAATAATTTGCATTTTATTTTTTCTTTTTGTCACATGTTACGCAAGTAACTATTGTTGGTGGAGGCAGCATTATGATCTGGGGCTGCATGGCTGCTGATGGTGCCGGCGAAAATTTCGTTTGCGAGGGTGGAAAGTACATAAATATATTGAAAGCTGTTCTTCTGCTTTCGTTAACGTGCATTTTCGGCGATACTAATTTAGACAGGGTTCAATTTCAGCAAGATAATGCTCCTTGTCACAAATCAGCGACTGCCATGCGTTTGTTTAGAGATAACAAAACATTGTTTTGTTAGATTGGCCTGCCCTGACAGTCTCCAGATCTTAATCCCACTGAGCACATGTGGGCTATTTTAAAATGCAAGATTAAGGAACACAGTATTACATCAAAAACTGCCTTAAAGTATGCTTTAATAACTAGTGGTACGCTATAAGTGCGGACGAATTTGCAAAGCTCGTACACAGCATGTCTAAGAGAATTGCTGCGGTTATTAAATCGAAGGGTGGACTTACTAAATATTAATGTTATTAACACTAATTCATTGTATTTTCATTGTTTTACTAATAAAACTTCATTGCTGCACTTGTTAAAACCAAAAAATTCAGTTATCAGTGGGGTGCCTAATACTTTTGGCCAAGGCTGTACATATACGAGTATATATATATATATATATATATATAATATTTAATAATAATATATAATATTTAATAACAATAATAATAATATATTTATATATATATAAATTCTTGTAAAATCGATCGATTAAGCTGATTGAATTAATTAGTGAAGTCTATTTATTTCGCGGTGTTGCCAACCATCTGTCTGTGTTCTGCGTGTGTTAGAAGGTGAATTCAAATAAATATACCATGAAGGGAGCTGAAACAAGCAGGCTTCTAACCAAAAATATCTTTAATCCTAACGGAAGACATTACCAATTTAGTAAATTTAACAAAAAATAAAATAAAAAATTTCCAAACGGAAGTGAGCATTAAATTTTAATTTTGACACTAAACCAAAAAATATGTCAGCACAAGCGTGAATAAATTAAAAGCTTCAAAATAAACACATACAATGAACTTTTCAAATTTAAATAATGCAATAAAACATTTTATACTTATTTTCACTTTTTTTGTGTCAAACGAAAAATGGAATTTCTTCAAAAAGCTGTTAATTTCTTTTTGTAACTGAAACATTTAGTACTTATTATGATTTTTTTTTTTTAATAAAAATAAAAAGTAAAAGTGAGAATCAAAAAAACTTGTTATTTTTCGTTTATGTGCATGTGTGCATTTCAGGTGTGTTTTTTCTTAATTTTTTTTTTTGTGACATTTCGTGTGATTCATTTCTGACGCTAAATGAGATTAACCGCAGACAGAACGGTGAATGTTATGCTTAAATGGGAAATTTTCTACTTCAATAGAAATTATTATAACTTTTTTTACAATTCATAATCTATTTGTTTGCGCTTAATTAGAGCGTTACGAACTGATTAGTATGAAATATGTTAAATAATTGGGAAAATACATACGTACGAAAAAAAGTGTACCGTATTCTCTATTACAAATGTACATACATACATATGTATGTTTATAAAAACATTATGACAGCTGTCTAAACAAATACAAATTATTTTCAAGAATTGGACCGTCTGAATGAAGTAATGGCCCAGCTTTGGCCAATAGCAGGGTAATTGTGTTTCATCAGGTCAACAGCAGACCACACACATCGATAGTGACTCACCAGAAGTTGCAAAAGCTTGGGTGACAGAGTCTTATGCATGCATCTTACATCTTACAGCAGCTCGCATAAAGAACAGGTAATTCTGTTTATGGCGAATGATTTGACTGTCAGGCATAATCGGCATCAAAAGAAACCTGTGAAAATCGATTGTCCCAATTTATTGCCTTCAAAATGGCAAATAGTTCATATTTGATATTGATCGGATAATTATAACCGCATAAGGTAAATAAAGCCTTCAATTTAATGCAAAAATTGTGTATTACCTTTTACTAGTCCAATTTATATTTTCCTACAAATCATGACGCTTGACCTACAATTTATACTCAGAGGCCTCCGTACGGCAACTACATTTTTATGTGAATCTTGGATTTTCATGTCAATGAGCTTGACATTCCCTACCGAGAAAGTTTTTGATCTTGTTCTACGTTTTTATCCAGGCAAGAGCTGTCGCCCTTTAGGCGACCTCACCCTGTTGAAATCAGCAGGTGACAAGTAACATAAATACCAATCTTTCGAGTTGTGCGCTGACCTTGGGGCCGTGTGCATGGAAACCCACACCCAAAAAAATTTGAATAACGCTCGGGTCAGAGACTCTATTCTTATTGATGACCACTACCAACGTTTTAAGAACCAAGACTAAGCGATATTCATACAAGCGACCATTGTTATATAACTTCCCCTTTGAAGACTCTATGAAGGGTGGTAGGGACCTTTGTTACCGATATTTCGGTCCTACGAAATATGGTACGAATAGCTAAGTAATTACTTAAATCCTCTTGTGGTTACTTGGGGTCATTTCGCATATTTTCTTTTTGTGTGGTAGGACTTATGTATGAAGGGGTGTATAAAAGGGCGTCTCATCCTAAAATTCTTATGTTTATTAACGGTGTAGAGGTCATCACTAAAGCCGGGGATGTGAAGAAACAATAAAGGCACGGAATAAAAATGCAAAAATATTATTTTTCTTTTTCAATTTATAAAAAATATATGTTTGTGTGTTTATTATTTTATATAATTAAATTTTACATACATACATATGCACATATATATTTTAATACTATGTATGTACTCGAATATACATATTTCAAATACTTTTCATATACTAAGTTTTAATTTACATATACATACATACATACATATGTATATGTAAATACATATACACTAGAACTTACGTCAAAATCCTACAACTAGTTAATATAAGCTAATAAATTATTAAAATTTATATTTTAAAATTAGTTAAAAATATTTCTTTTTTACTTTAAGCTTAGTATTAGTTAATTAGTATGTACGTCGACATATTTTTTGCCAAATGAATTCAAATTTAATGATTAATAATACCGAGAAAAATTTTAAATGAATTAAATTGATTTTCACAGAATTATTATTTTTTTTTTAAATAATAGAATGAAAAAGTTAAGAAAAGTAAAATATAAAAATAAAATAACAATAAAATATATAAAAAAAAATGAAATTAAGTAAATTAAAAATAATTAAATACAAAAAAAATAAAATAAAAAAATTAAGAATAGATAAAATAAAAAAGTTAATTTAAATAGAAAAAATAATAAATCATAAAAAATATTAAAAAAAAAAAACCAAAAATTAAATATAAAAAAGTTTATTTGATAAAAAAAAAACCAAAAATTAAATATAAAAAAGTTTATTTGATAAAAAAAAAACCAAAAATTAAATATAAAAAAGTTTATTTGATAAAAAAAAAACCAAAAATTAAATATAAAAAAGTTTATTTGATAAAAAAAAAACCAAAAATTAAATATAAAAAAGTTTATTTGATAAAAAAAAAATGGAAAACTTCTAATTAAGTAAAAAAGATTTTAAAGGACAATGTATCAAAAATGAAATAAAAAAACAAAAAAAAAATTAAAATTAGAATAGAATAGAATTGTTCAGGAAAATAAAATTAAATTAAATTTAAAAAAATTAATTTAAATTAAAAAAAATTAATTTAAATTAAAAAAAATTAATTTAAACTAAAAAAAAATTAATTTAAATTAAAAAAAAATAATAATTGAAATTAAAAAAAAAATTAATTTAAATTAAAAAAAATTAATTAAAATTAAAAAAAAATAAAATAAAATTAAAAAAAAAAATGAAATAAAATTAAAAAAAATAAATTTATTATTTAAAAATAAATAAAACAAAAATTTAACAAAACTAAAATAAAAATTAAAAAAAAAAGAAAATAAAATATTAAAAAAGACAATAATTGAGGAAAATTGAAGTAATTAAATTCATATACTTATAAATGTATATAAACACAAACTTAATGTTCCATAGGCAACTGTAAATAAAGTATTTGGGCATATCCCTCTTCGTGTCAAAAAATATTTGCTATTAAGTAATTAATTAGGTAAAAAATTTTAAATTATATGTTTTATTATTTAAAAAAATGCTTTGCATTCCTAGGCACTTAAGCCTTATTAATTTTTATTAAAATTTCATTACATGCTTTTTTAATATTTTTGAGAAAGTAAAATGATTTTTAATAAATACCAATTAAATAAAATAAAGTTTAATTCATATTATTTGTTAACCAATGTAAAATGAAAAAAAAATAAAAATAAAATAAAATGAATCAAAATAAATTCACTAAAATTTTTAAATTCTATAAAACAACAAAAATTAATAGAAACAAATTAAAAATCATTTTCATAGATTTAATGCCAAAATAAAAATGTGCTTGTATGTATGAACTTAGTGTCATTTTGGTTCTAAATAACTTGTTCTAAAGCTAGTGCTATTTATATACAGCATTTAATAAATTATTTTATGTTGTTTTTGCTGAAATATATTTAGAAAACTATGCACATAGTTTAAACAAAAAATTATTTAAAATATTTTTAAAACATATACATATGCATATGGTATGTTAATTGCTGGCATATTGTATATAGATTTTTCATCAACTCATTTAAAACTACAAATGTATAGAAGCTTATATTAAAAAATTATAAATAATATGAATTTAAAAAAAGGCTAATTTATACAAAAAAATTTAAATTATAAAAAATTTTATTTACAATATAAGCCTACATTTAACGCTTACAGCTAGTAGCATCTTTTATATATTTTGTTTTATAGCAAATAAAGAATTTTCAAATTGCTTATATTCTTTTCAATACAAATTGAAGCTTAACGTCTAATGCAAATACTATTTTGATTTTCATGGAAATCAATATGTCAACAGGAACAGTTACATTTTTAGTTTTTATTTTATATTTTTTTTTTACCATAAAAGCACTAAATCTTCATACTTTTTTGTTTCAATTATCCTTTTAAAGATCGCCACACATACGCCGTTTTTTTTTAAGCGCCAGTTATTTTTTAATTTTAAATTTTCATTTCATTTTTATTTTCAACCATAAAAATTGAAGCCATTAAATGCATATAAATACTAAGAAGACATATTATCAATAAATATTGCATTTCTATAAATTTTTTCATATTCATTTTTAGTTAAAGACATTACAAGTGATTGTGTGGTGTGTGTGTGTGTACGAAATACTAGCGGTGTGTTATTAATTTCAGATGAAACCAACAAAAACGAAGTCATTTACGTATATTTTTCGCAAACGAGTAATGACATTTTAATGGATGTATGTGTGTACACACATATATATGTGTGGTTAGAAGTGTGCTTTCCTGTTCTGCAAACAAATACAATGCAATTTTTTGTACTAAATTACTTCGCAATCAACAAATCCTTCATTAGCCAAACTAACGGTTCAGTCTTCTACCATTACGTCCACTACTGCGCGTAAGCATTATTGTAGCGCTTGCACCGCTACCATTACGCGATGCCGTCGTACGTTTACCGTAAGAAGTGCTTGTCGAGGCATTGGCGCCACGCACAACCATACCGCTCGACGCCCCGCCAACGCCGCCGCCGCCGCCGCCAAGTACGCCCACCGACTGCTTTGAAATAAGCACTGCATGCGCGCGCGGTCGTGTCGCCGCAGATACACTCACTGCTGCATTTAACAATTTAGTCGTAGACGCCGACGATGACGACGCCGAGTTGGTTGGCAAGCTATAAGCGCATAGACCGGTCGCATGTAAGCTGCTACGCGTCGCCGCCTTATTATAAGCATAATCGCGTTGTCCATTGACTGTTGTAAGACCGGCGCTGGAAGCGTTGCGCGTACTCAGGCTGCGCAAGTTGTGCCGATCGCGTCTCAACACCGTCGTTGACGCTGCGGAGAGTAGAGGACTGTTACCGAGAGCACCTTTGGAGCGGCGCGTTGACTGTGTGTGATTGCCGGTGACTGCCGCGGCAGCTGCTGCAGCAAAATGTGCCACTTTACGAGAGCGCAGATTGATGACATGCGAGAAGGCAGCCTCTAAGTTATCGGCGTTTGTCGTGAGTAACTTTTCCGCACGTGAACGGCGCGTAGCATTAAGATTCGTACCGCCATTGCTGCATATGTTGTTGTTGCTGTTGTTGTGGTTGACGCTACTACCGCTTCTATTCAATGCTGAACAACTATTGGTGTTGCTGCGTTGTTGTGCCAACGCCGCATTGCTGCTCATCAAACTTACCGCCGTGTCGTGCAGAAATTGCGTCGTCACCCGACGCATTGTCGAGGTGAGTGACGCCTTCGCTTTTAGTTCTTTGGTGAGTGAATTGCGCGTGCGTAGCGTACGTTTGGCGTAGTCGATGAGGCCGCTATTACTGCGTAATTGACGCTTTTCCAATGCAATGGCAGCACAGCTAACAGTAGGCATGCCTGCGGCCGCTGTTGTAGTACTACAGCGCCGATTGCGGTAATTGCTGCCGCTCGCGTTGTTGTTTGTGTTCGTGTTGCTGCTGCTTTTCGCTTGGTCTTGGTCAGTATCCACTTTGTTGTTGTTGTTGGTGCACGTACTACTGACAGCGCTTAGTAGATAATCCTTGTAACCGTTATAACGTCGTCGCTTGCTAAGCGCATGCACAGACGCTGTCTCATTTGCGCGCACATTCTCATTGGGTATATTGGGGTATTGCGCTTGTGCGCGTTTCAAAGAGGTGCGCGCCGGACATGCTTTGGGCAGGCGCGTGGTAAATTCATATGCTGCAACTTTGGGCTTATCACTCTTACTGCTTATCATCGTCGCCGCTGCCGCCTGTCGCGACAGGACAGCTGTGGTGGGCGTTGAGGCCGAAGCAGTAATACTGATTGCTCCTTGAGATTTTCTTCGCGCGTGTCGTAGCGTTTGTGTTTGTTGACTTGCCACACGCTCAAGTTTTCTTGGAATTCTCTGTTGCAGTATTTCAATCTTTTCGATTTTCTCTATAACTTGTGGTGTTTGCGTTGAAGTCGTTGCGTATATTACATCACTGTTCACATTGCTATTGCTATCACATTCTCTTTGCTCGCACATGCTTGACGATATTTCATTGATTTGCACACTTGTATCCTCGTCCGTCGCTGTAGAAGTGTCGGCCAGCTGCAGCGCCTGTGCGCTTTCGCTCTCTTCGTCAATATACTCCTCCTCCAACATCTCCACAGTTTCGTCCAACGCTTCTACAGCTGTTGTGCACTCTTCAGCAGCAAATATAGCTTTAGGAAGTTCCGTCGCCTCTGCTGCTTGCATTTTTGTTGTGTCTACTAGCGCTAATTTTCGTTGCATTTCTAGACGTTCATAGGCAACTTGTTGTTCCTCTTCGCGTTCCTGCTGCAGTAACGAATTCAACTCGAGCGGTGGTTGCTGTTCGGCTGCATAATCCAGATATGGATTAATTGTCGTACTCAAAGGCGCGCATGCCGATTCCCACGTGAGTGCTGCCTCCAGTTCACGTGCCTCTTCCACGGTCAGACGAGTTGTATTGTTGGCTTGCTGTGGCGTACTTACGCTTTGTACTTGCTTTATTTGCCCTTGTTGCTTTTTTTGTTGGCTTGTTTGTTCTTCTGCTCGTTTACGACGATCATCATTTTGTTGCTGGTGCTGTGGCACATAGTTTGTACTGTTATTAGTTTCGAGTGCTTGGAAAATTTTGAATGTTTGCACACCGCTGGTGCAGCGCTGTTGCTCACGACGCGTTTCCAATTTGGTTAAGGAATAACCGTCCTCTTCGGACATGCATTGCTGTTGATACAGCTGTTGTTCGTGTAATATCTCACTTGTACCGCTAATAATTTGACAATTCGAATTGGAGTTGGAGCTGTTTGTGCTGTCGTGTGACATTTGTTCGTTCAAAAACGAATTGTACGATTCAGCAAATGTCATAAAACCAGCATTACCCAATTCATTGCTTACATCACTCGATGCAGTGTGATTGACTGAGGTGTCACCATTGTAATTTGAGTAGTTCAACATACCAGAGCCGCTCTGTGCGTCATCACTAAGCGAGCTGGCATGTACGCTATCTAACGCGTTGTCTTCGCCATCACCTGTTAGTAAACTATGTTCGTTATTGCGCTTGTTTGTTGTTGTTTGACTCATTATGGCCTTGCTACAAATGCTCACATCACTGTTTGCTGTTAAACTTGTTGTATGTTGATGATTATAATCACCAGCACAATCAGATAGACGCTCTTCCCAACTCCAATTGTTCCAATAACTTAATTCTTCGTTACAATACTTTCCAACACAATTTTCTTCATGCTGCGATTGTAGTGCAGCATTTATAGCCTCCTGATCGAGATAATAGTCGAAATCACGGAAAGCCTCAGGCATTGTATGTTTTTCGGCAATTTCCTCATATGACAAGCCATAGTTATCGGCAGCGGGTGCCATTTCAGCACATACTTCGGTATATTCCAACCCGCAAGTATCCTTTGGTAAGCCATTAAGCGTGTGGGTGTTGGGCTCAATATAAGGTGGCTTTGTTGCTTCACACAGGGCGGTTGGATGGAGTATGGCAGTGACAACAGATGTATTATCAGCGCGCATCTTTTTCGCCGCCCATGTCTTTAAAGCACGTTCCACTAAACCTCTGCTCGGGTTTGTCCAATCGCTATTGCTGCGTTCAGCACTAGAATAAGCTTTTAGACGCTCATTAAGACATTCACGTTCGTAGACAGTGTCGACGGCCTCTTGTGGCGTAACAACATTCCAAAGACCATCAGTGCCGAAGATTAGGCATCTAAAAAAAATTGAGAGATTAATAAATCAATTAAGCACATATTAGACAACAGTAATTTATAAAAATTTACATGCCAATATTTTAAATTCAATATGGAAATTCTCAATAACTCACCGAAAAGTCTTTGGATTTATTTTGATAACTTGTACATCTGGATCTGGACTAACTACAAATACATTGCGCTTAGAATTATAGCTCCACAAATCCCCGAGACTACGCGCAACCGCCAAGAAGGGTACTTCATCTACAGGTGTATTACAACGTATTGGTCCTTTATGACCAGCTATTTGAATAGAGAAGACAAATATTAGCAACTAAACACATACAAACATTTATTTTCTTTTATATCTCTACTAACCATTGCGGGGCCGATTCCAAACGACACGCGGTACACCAGATTTGACTACCACTTTGCCACCTGAACGTTGTATACGCGCACGTTCTTCTGGCGATTCTGGCTTATGATCAATCGTCAACTGTCTGGCACGCCAAAATGTCTCGCCCTCATTCTGATAGCCGAGTGCTATGCCCGAATCACCAACATGTCCAATATAAATTTTTTCACGCCTTATAAATGCAATGGTGGCAGTGGTGCCTGCGGTGCTCAGCAAGCCATTCGCTGTTTTTGGCCAATTTTCTGTAAAATAAATAAAAATAAATATTACAACAATGCATTTGTTCTGAAAATAAACACATCTTCAATATAAGCGCTTCCAAAAAATGCTTTTGAACATGTGCGAACATATGCATTTCCGAATGTCCAAAGAATGAGGTAACCAAAACAAAAATGATATCTCCACCTCACTCACCCCGCCCACTAGTTGAAATTCCAGAACACAATTGGTACCTTTTTTTTTGTTTACATCCCTTTCTTATCATCAAAACATAAGTACCTTACCACCAACCACATATACATATGAAATCATATGTACCTATGAAAATTTCGAAGGAATATCATCGAGGAAATGTTAAAAAATAAAAAAAATTACAATAAAGAGCATTGTAGTAAGAGGGAGAGTGACGAATAGCATGCAGCAATTTAGCAAAACGTACGCAGAAAAGACAACACGAAAATTTCAGTGCAATTTCAAATGTCAAATTATGTTTCTTACTTTCTGCCACTTATTGATACATAGGTGAGTAATAATTAACACCACAGTGTTGGCAAATATATTAAGGCCAGTGGGGAATGGCTCGTTCGTTCGCTTTTGCAGCATATTTAACAAAAGAGGGAAAAGGTGAATTTATGGTGGTGGTGATCAGAGTTGCACTCGGAACAAGGGCAAAAAAATAGTTGTATATGCAGTTTGCAAATTTAATTATTGAATTTGTTTAAAATAGAATTTAGACTATACATTTTAATTGGATTGTCATGAAGTTTGTTGGAGGAAGAAAAATATTACCTGTACAATTAACAATTGAATTTATAGTTATTATGTAACTATATGTTTTAGAGACTTAATAAAAATTGAATTAAATTATGGTTAATGGTTACAAAAAAAAAAAAAATAAATATAATAATTTTGCTAATGATTAAAAATTTTAAAATAAGGTAAAAGTAAACTAATAAAAAAATATCATATAAAATAAAAAGAAAATCAAATACGGAGTAAAATAAAAATATATTTAAAAAATAAATTTAAAAAAATTAATTGCATCAATTTAAAACGGATTCAAAGTAAACATCTTCATAATATGTAAATTGCAAAGAGAAAATTCGCTCAATATTCACATACTATTCCATTAATTTCCTGCCATTTATTTACTACCCACATACCAGTACGGTTTCCGCCTACTGCAATAAACCACCACTCACATAAACCTGAGATAGGCAACACTGTACTTTTCTCATTATTCATGACTAAATTTATACAACACGTACATTCATATAAGTGTATTATAAAACACACCACTATTTTACTCGTTTTTACACATTGCAAGAGCAAAAAAATAAATAAATATTTTATATAAGTGAAATCACCACAGCTGTAATACAATGCTTGGCATTCAATTACACACACCACGATAATACATATATCCGATATATATACGACTCGCTCCCGTTTCTTTTCGCCTATGTGCATCAGTGTTGTCAAGCTACTCATACACTCAACAATTTATATACTCACGACTTTTGCAGTTTCTCTTTTTCACACGAATTCTGTATTTTTGGTTTGCGTGTGGAATATTCCACTACGGATTTCGTCGTTTTCCTACTACATTTTTCATTCGTACCATGTACATGGGTTAAATAAATGTTGGGGGAATTTTTTTTTATATTTGGTACGAATTAAGGTTATTTACTGTAGAGCTGATGTTCGTTTGACAATTGTGTGGTGAAATCCAATAGGGAACTTTGAAGTGTGTAGAAGAAGAGCGAAAAAAAGTTTAGTAGGTTTGCTGTTTTACTAACACGATGTTTTTCGATTAAGAGTGTATAGTTAATTCAATTACTATGTTTTAGCTATATTTTGCTAATTAAATGTGTATACCAGCAACCTAACGTATCCATAAAACTCGGTAATATATGTGTGTATATACAAGTTTTTCTGTTTGGTTCCAAAGTAGAAAAGTTATATGAAGCAGCACAAATCAGTTCCGTTTATATCGAAGTTGTGGCTAATAAGAATGGAGCAACGGTCCTTTGTAAAAATCTCTCTTACATTAAATCTAAAGCCCCCTCGAGCTATATTCTATTGACTACGTTATCAACAAGATTTAAACATGGAATAACTACTTATCATCACCTACATAAACTTTACTTTGTTAAAATTTGCTAACAACGTCGTATAACAATTTTCCAACAAAAGCGCTGTCCCATTTTTTAAGCAATTACCGTCGACTGTAAAACGAAGAAATATAAATTAAGGGATATGAATTTCCGTGGTGACCAACAACGAAACGCCTAAAACATAAGTTCTACATTATTTTATTGACATTTACCTTGATCTCTCCACATTGCATAATGTGTGGCTATATATCCTTCCCGAATTGCACGCAATACATCATGATCCGAGTCGGACCAGAATGATTTTTGGTTGATAATTTGCATCATTAGATTCTCTTTGGCAAATGTAGCTGCTTCGGCGCCACCATGTCCGTCATATATGCCGATAAATGCATATTCAAGATCCTTCGCATTCTCCGATTGTTGATAAGCAACCGAGAAGTAATCTTCCATATATTTTCGACCACCTTGGCTACATTGGCCGGTGACGCGTAAATTGACGCCGAGTGTTGAAGGTTGTGTAATACCACCACCTACGTTTTGGGTGGGTGGTGTTACTGGAGTTGATGCAATGGATGTCATTGTATCATTCTTGCTACTTTGCACTGTTGTATTGGTGGGCTGCAGCATACGCTGTTGTTCAGTGTTGCTGGAGTCAAATATGGTAGTCCTGGCACCGTTGGATATTGTAGAAGTGCTTTTGACTTTGTTCAAATTGTTTGTTACGAGCTTGTAATTAGGTAATGATTGTTGATGCAAACTTTTTCCATGAGTTATTGGACGTTGAAGTTCATGTTGCAACATTTTGACATTTATTAATTTTTGAATGTTCTCGTGATAGTTACAACAATTTTTTTATATCAAATCCCTTGATTTCGTTTTGCGTTCTTTTAAATTTTGTTGCTTGCTACAATGCGGTTGTTGCTGGATCTGTTTACAATTAATGTAAAAACCAGCTTGACATTTGCACTTAATGGTTGATGTTGATGTTGCTGTTGCTGTAGCTGTAGCTGCCGCAAATGCCGTCAGGGTTTCCTTTCGTATATAATTTGTTGCTGCATTTAATATATGACAGCTGGAACGCTGGCACATAATCTACCAACCACAATAGGAGTAAAAGAGAAAGATGTCGCGCAAGGTTTGCTGCGGCTCATCGAAATTATATATATGTGCATATATATTTGCCCTTTTTACTTAATTCTCTCACTTTTATTGCCTCCTTAATTTTATCGGAATTTCTGCTAATACCCTGCTTCTTCTTGTATCATTAAAAGTAAATTTTTACAGCACTATTTTCACAAATCTGCCACTTTTTCAGTTTTTCCTCCCCACCTCTTTTTATTTACTTTAGTTTTGTTTTTGCTTTTGACACTTCTCGTTTTGTTGTTACTACTTCGCTTTCGTTGTAGTTGGTTGGTTGACTCTTGTATTTGTATTAAATTAATTTTCTTACACGTCTGGAGAAATTTGGTTCAATTTTGAAAAAATATTTATTTCAGTATATATTGATTTTGACAATCAAATCGTAGAAAGGAATGTTTTATTCATCACCACTAGCACAAATTGTGTATAACTGTTAGTGAAAGGATTTTAACCAATATAACGCGTATGCGAACTTATATTTGCCATCATCACTAATATTCATTTATTTTCCAATTAAATTTTCTGTATCTATCAATTGTAATATATATTTTTTTTTGGCATTTTTATTTTAATTTTAAATAATTCTCCACCATTGTCGACTTTTCTTCAACAGCTCAGCACAAATTTAAAATCTACACTTCATTCGCTGCAACTTTCAAGCAAAATTACACAGAAACGACTGTGCCCAAGTAAAATATAGTGAACTGTCAAACAAGGCCAAAGCGAGATGACGCACACATATAACAAGTTTTGTATATATAGACTTTGCTCTCTCTGTCTATCACCGCCGCCCGTGATGGTGTGGTGAAATTTGTATATATTTATTATGTGAACTCATACAACTCTGTGTTATTACAATACGCTTTTTGTTGTTGCTTCACAATCCGACTTTGCCTTGTACCTGTTTTTCTACACTTCACATGCCACTTCCACTGAATTCCGAACGTTTATATGCCTGACCGTATATAAATATGCTCGTTGCGAATGTATTTGAATTTCTCTTTTATTTTTTACACAACATATTCTCTATTGAATAGAGATTTCTTAATACAACTTCCCTTGGATTTTTCTCTACACTTTCAATAGTATACATATGTATTTATAAAATTAGTTATTTAGGCTTTAAACTATTTGGGTTTTATATATTGGCATTAAGATTTGACACTTGATTGCAGTGTTGCACTTTGGCGCTGACATTTCTTTGCACTCCAATTTTGTTTTTTTTTCTTTGTTTTTTGCTTCTTTGGCGGGTTAATCAATTTTCTTTGATCACCGAAACAGTTGAAATGTCATTTTACAACCTTCTACTTCAACTATCGTCACTCGTTTGGCAAACGTTTACATCGTATCGCTTCGTCTCCTCCATACCATGTATTTACAATACAAAGGTTTCACATATTGCGCTCTCGCTTTTACGAATACAATTGACGCTTTATCTTCAACCCCACACACACTGTTCGTTTGTACACAGGCTATCTATAATACCCGTTGTAGATTGCCTGCTTGCCGCCAGTATGCTTCAATGCTACTTGTGTGCTATATACCAATTACTTTATATTATTTCGAAATTATCGCATACAGGGTGTGCTGGTATATTCTGTACACCGAGTGAACTAGTTTTCCTTGAGCATAGGTATTAGTTATATATGTATATACGTTATGAATAAAGGGGGAAAATTTCCATTTTATATAAGTCGATCTTTTTATTGATATTTTTGTGCAATCATCTTGTTATAAAGCTTTTTTGTTTGCATTTAGTCATATGTGTAGACTTATGTGTAATGTTCAGACCCTGTATGTACTATATATATATATATGAATTTTTTCCCATTTCATGCTTATTCGCTTAATTTTTTCTTCTTCCCCTTTTTGTGTGCTCCTTCGCAGTGTGGTTTCACCACTGTGAAACTGGCAGTTCATTTCATATATGTATAAAGATATGTGCACATATACACACGTATGTAGGTAAATACATATATTCTTGTTGTTCGTTTGTAGCTGAGTTTGCGATATTTCATGTTGTCTTTTTTCTTACTGTATATTTTTTTTGTGGAATATTTTTGCTCTTGGCGAACAAATAATTTCATCGTGTGTACGTAATGGTACTATGGGCGTAAGCAGTTGGGGAAAAAACTTTATGTAGAGGCACAAAAATACAAAAATTTCGATAAGATAATTGAAATGTTGGTATTTAGTTTAATAAGTAACACTTTTTGTCAGATTCTATGAGAATGTCTAGGGATTAGATTATAATCATACTATTGAAATTATTATTATTTTTTTTCGAATAACTATTTCCTTTTTCTATGCTACTCCATTTTAAAAAAAAAATTCTCAAACTGCTGATTCTTTTTTCATAGCATTAATTGGAAAAAGTTGCCGTTAACTCAGCATACAAAGAATTTCGAAAATTCTTTCTTAGAAATTAAAAATATGTAATCGTTTACACTCAAATCATCAAACCTTCAAAAGTCCTATCGAACACGATGTATCGGAAACCGATTATTTAACAAATTGGGGTCTCTCTATGGCGATTTATCGGAAAATTTCGTTTGAATAAAACCGACGAGGAAATAATTTGACGAAATTAATTATTTTTTACAGGTTTCAATTTTTTATAAAAAAAGGTTATCTAAAGTGAGTTTCAGGAGAGAAAGGGAACTCGGTTAAGATGATTAATCTCGTCCGTGATCTAATGCACACGTTGAAAATGTCCTTCATATTTATTTAGGTATTGACTGGCCTTTAAAGCCGGTCGATACGCTGTCTTGTCCAGCGGTTCTTAACTATGATGCTGAATGGAGTCGGTACAGTTTAGTACTCGATTTCGGATGAGGCTGGTTGGAGGTTAACACTCAAGTCAATTATAGCTCCCAATGATAGCATCCCAGAAAATTTGCGTGCACAGCAAAAGATCAGATCCCTTCTTCCCTTTAAGTCCCCACACAATTAAGGAAAAGCTAAGAAATGAAAAAATGAGAATAAGAAACAGGTAATGGTATACTAGCGATGGGATCAGACAATCAAAAAAACTTATGAACCAGTGAAGTTGAGCCACTTTAGGGAGGTAGGGCTACAAGAAAGGCTACGTCTTTGAAGGACTATAATATGACCGCAAGGCTTATAGATGCCTTATCCCCAAAACTTTTACTCCTTCGTCTAACGCAAGATCCCTTCTTTTAAATTGAACTTCCGTACAGCTAGAATCCGTTGAAGGCAAGTACGATTAGTCTGAAGATCTTGGTGCCTTTGGTCAGCCTCTCTCTGAAAATCACGAAGCACGCCATTATACTGTTAAATACACAGTGTTACAACACTAAAAATACAAAAACAGTGCACGGATTTGAATTTCATTTGCTACTGCCGCTTGATTAAACGACCCGCGTGTGGTTTAAAACACACTGTACTTTGTTGTTGTCTGGTTTTCATTTTCATTTTCATTTCTTTTATTTTGATTTTTATGTTTTTGTTGCCGTTGTTTCTTTTCAACATACACAACGCCTGCAGTTTACGATTACACTTGACAATTCGCAGCGGCTCGCCTTAATAAATGACTGCGACAGGCGACAACAAGCGGATGTGGGGGCCCAAGCATGGCGACTTTAGTGGTGGGAAGCAAAATCAACTTTTATATTGTTTTTTTTTGTGTATACTGAATTTGTGGTTAAAAATACCGGCATATAGTAGGAATTACGATATTTCGAATAGAAAATTTTTCAAATTTCAATAGCATAACGCATATTTTATTGCAAATAGTTTGGATTGAAGAAATGCAAAAAAAATATATATGTATATATGTAAGAAGGACAAATTAACGTAGAATAAATTTTTACTGTTTTTTACATACATATGTATTTCAATTAACTTAAGGAAATTTTTTGAAAACTTGTAAGACTTCATATACACTTTTATTAGAGTTTCTGTGCAATAAAATGCATAGTTGTTGGAAACTTTTTTGTTTACGTTTGAGCCTTTTCGACCTTTTACATTTCTCTTGTTAACAAACAAACAAACTTTTTATTGCATTTTTAAGTATCGGAAATGTTGCAAATTTGCTTTACTTGATAAAAACACTATTGTTGGCTCAGCGGTAGAGCACTCCACTGTTAAGTTAGCATCCGTTGGTTCGATTCCTGCCGGAAGAAGCCTGATGAGGAGTTGTGGTGATCTCCCAAACAGTGACAGCTTTTGGATTTTGTTGCATTTTTCTCTGTTGTATAACAAATAAAACTCAATTCATACAAAAAATAGGCCTTTCACTTACTAACTCATAACAAAAATTAGTAGTACAGGACGCAAAAACAATTACATACATATGTACATATGTACATACATGTGTGCCTCTTGTCAATTTGCGCGCGCTCTTGGAAATGCCGGTCGCTAAATCCCCTATGATTTGCATTTTATGTTCATACATGCGTGTACATACATACAGATGTACCTATTAGTGTTATTAGCTCTGCCTGCTTCTTAACATTCAACGACGTGTTTATTGATGTTTTCATTTGGAATGATACACACACCAGCCAAGACAAAATGGAAAAAAGGAACAAAAACTAAATCAAAACAAAGTTTGCAAAACAATTTGCTAGCCCGTCACAGCTGATTTTCATCGCTTTGCAAATCCATACATACATACATATGTACGTACTATATTCTTTTTTTATTTTTGAATATTTTTCCGCCGTGGTGGTGATGGTGCGAATCTGTCAAGAAATTCACCTAAAAACCACAATCAAAACAAAATCCAACAGTAACAATACCTGACCTGCCAACCCACCCCAACCGGCGCGTAGTCCACAAAACACTTTTATTGGGTTGACAGCAATCGGCGGTTGATTTTTTTTATAATGCTTCTTCTTATTATTTGTACCAACGCGTTTGTTTTGTTTACATGCTCGCGCAATTTGACCGATTGGCGCCAATTTTTCGGTGCGCCTAACAAGTGGGGGATAATTTGCCGGTCACAAAGATACCACAGCAGGTACATGCAAACATATGTATGTATGTACACATATGTATGTGTGTGTTAGGCGCATAAACTTGTTTAACAGCAAACGCGGAAGGCAAATCTCTTGGTTTGTTTTGTTTCGTTTTGCTGTAACTGTGATGAGTTTTCGCTTATCAGTTGTGTTACTTGTCTTCTCTTTTATATGTATCTTTGTTATCTCTTTCAGCGTTTCTTGTATAATTTACTTCAAGAACTTTAATGGTAAAAAAAAAATCCTGCGTGGAAGTTCCTGTAGTGCCATTTAGCGGATAACTGGAAACGGAAATGTAGCAACGTTGTTGACATTTCGTTTTATTTGAGGTTACTGTCACATATATATGTATGTACGTACATTTGCTTATATTCGTGTTATCTGCTAAGGAATTTCCCGTACATTATACATATTGTGAAGTGCAACATGTTTCAACATGTTTTGTTTATGTTATCGAACGGAAGGTTATCGATTCGAGAAATTCTTACATTTTCTTGTGATGGACGATGATGGTTTAAAAATTTGGAGAATGTGATTGATTGCACATCTAGAATAAGTTAAGTGATTACTATGTCGGGGTTGTAAAGTCAGCAGTCAACCGAGTGTCTTTGCGTTTGGTGCCATGACGCCATGACGGAGAAAGTAAGATCTAAGCGAGTTTTGAGTTTTTGCTTAGCTTATTTGGTTAGAGTGGGTGTAAACTTTTTTTTAATTAAAGCATAATCAATTTGTACTTAAAAGTGTTAAATAAATATGTTTTTACATACATTTATATATGTATATGTATGTATGTATCGCAGTTTGTTAATAAAAAATTTAATATTATTTCTTTCAGTTACTATGTAGAGATAAGAAATAAAAAGAAAAGGATTGTTCCTCATAGGGAGGCTATAATTTTTGAAACCATGCAGGCCAACATCCTAAATTATGTACTCCAAATTTCTAACCACAGTTAGCCTCCGGCATGAACTCCCAACTCCTCTAAGTATATTCCCGACATGAAATAAAAGCGGCTTTAAGCACAATCACCACTAAACACTGGCAGTCACATTTAACAGCCAGCACTCCATTACTTCCCATACAACCACAATTGGCACAAAAGTACAATAGCGCAAAAAGAAAACCGTCAAATCGTTAACACACATCATCTCGGAAAAAGTCAAAGAACTGTTGTTGGCAACGTACAAGGCAATCGGTTGGCCGTTCGTAAATTACCCTAGCAGCGTAATGAGTGTGTGTACATTTAAGACAAGCGAAACGCATATGAAGAAGCAAAAAACTTTACAGAAAACCTCCTAATATCACCGACGCATCACCTACACAGCGAAACATCTCTGCTTCTAGTTAAGTAGCGCCGAACGGTAAATAGTAGCTTAACATTTATCCGCGTCCAACGTATGAAACAGGTTCCGAGATCAGGAATATTCAGTATGGTTGTTGGAACCAAACAACTATTTGCGAGCAGTAATGTATGAATCCTGTACAAAACTCCATGAAATAACACATATTATATCCTCTCAAAGGTTAGATTACAATATGTGCTTTCAGGTGAGAATACCCTCTAGATATGAATGGCGGAGAGGTTTTGAAGGTGAGGAGGATACCATTTTAATCTGAGCCGATTGGTCTAAAATGGACTGCTGAATGCAGGTGGGGGTATACTCCGACTCTTATAATCGGAAGTACTAGGTCATGAAAAGGCCTTTAGAGCGGTAGTGTATCATTGCAACAAGGTCTTAAGCTCCCTCTTGGGACAACTCGACATATCAAAAATCTGAATTGGCGGCCCGTTTTGGCAAAGTCTGGATGAACCTCAAGCGGAGATAATACCATGTCCATTATGAACGATAAAGAAAAAGCAAATTGAACAAATAGCACAAAAACAAATGGAAATCTATCTACAAATGTAAGATAGCGAAACCGATCTGATACAGGTCTGGCATGATCATAACTAGGGATCTATTGAAAAGGTTAAGCTAAAGTATATATGGAATTATAGACTATATCGGAGAGTATGTATAACAAACGGCCTCCCTCATAATAGTCGTGAAGTTTGGTAATTAGAGGGGAATACGGAAACAGTAATTCGCTTTCTCTATGAATGTCTAGCTACATATACATATCTCAAATTCAATATAAAACACTTGGAAACGGTTCTACCAGCTCTAATTGAGATCGTCAGCACTTTTATCTACTTGCATACATACATATGTATGTATCTATGTCCCTGCGGGGTAGGAGTTCAAGAGTTTTCCCGCAGTAAGAAATGCCTATCATAAGAGGCGTCTAAAACCCAAAAATTCGCGCGACAGTCGGTTCTTTATAACGGAACGACCCGAAAATTTATCCGGCAAAGAACTTTCACTACCGCAGCAATCTCCAAACACTCTTTTGGAGAATATTTTTGATGCTACAGCAACGCAACAACTTAAAGGTATGTACATACATATGTATGCACCTACCAAACCTACCTAGCTGAGCATGTTCTACGGAAAGCTTGCGATAAAATTCAATAAAAATTTTAAAATTAAATTTATGAAAAAACCTCTAAACAAACCAGCAAAATTGTGAAGAATGAAATAAGCTGGTATGAGGATTTTATAAACTATGAGTTCCACCCCACATCATACTCAAAAATAAAAAAACAAAACCAAGAAGAAATGTTCGGTTTGGAAATTTCTTTTAACATGCGCATTAAACCAACTAAAGCTAAAATCGATAACACGTTCAATATGGGTATTCACATGAGAATAATGCCACCGTTCAAATAACTGCTTGCTTATAGGTATTTACATACATACATATTTATGTATGGAAAAGTGTCGAAATTCAACGATTGTCGCGTCGTTTACCCAACACTTGAGAACAATCGCACACAGTACCCAAATGCTATTATTTGCTATGCGAACAAAAAACACTAAAAAGCGTAGCTACAAGGTACCTGCTTACTTTTATATAAATACTAGTTTGTATGTATAATTTATTTGTATATTAAATACAGTGGTTTTTGTATTCGATTTGAGTCGGTCAGAAGGTTTGTATGCATGATAACTAGAAATGGTAAGCGAACCACCACATGCCAGATACATACGACGTACAAAAATACATACATATATATGTTACAGGCAGTTGCTCGTACGCTTGCTTGAGTATATTGACATATTTATTTAAGTGCCAAACCTTTTGGCAACTCATATCGTATGACTAATTCACATTTCAAATGAGTAACGAACACAAAACAAACGGAAATAAGAATAATTGTTCATTAGTTTTCATAGAAATTTCGTTTGCCTGGCGAACAGTTGAGTATACCACATGTAGGTATGTGAGTACGTAAAAGAAAACGATAACGACGATTGCTCACGAACGATACGAAACGAAGCGAAACGAAGCGAAGCGACCTCTATACACAGGCAAATAAGACACAATATATAATATGTTTGCATGTATGTACATATCGCATATAAAATAAAATTTTTGAAATTGCCCACTGCAAAGCAAAAGCAAACGAAACCGTGAGAGAGCATATATATGTATGTATATACATACTGTCTCTAAATGTTTAAATAATCCGTATGCACACATACATACAGTGTGCGGTAAAAATCACTTAACAGACGTTGTATTTCTAGTACATACATTTGCTGTATGTATACAGCGGTTTTTGTATGTGACAAATAAACCTACATACATATATGTATAAGTGTATAAATATGGATATCGTGGACAGGGTGTGTACGTGCAGATTAAAGTTGAATTTCCACACAGATGTGTTGCATGTGTGCCGGATGAAGTTGAATAACATAGAAATACATATATATGTACATATGTAGATGCACGCATATGAAGAGCATAAGAAACCCTATAACCAGTTTGCAAAACATGAATATTTTAAGATTGTGTTTGTCTGAAGAGGTTAACAGCTTTGCACAGTGGGTTCAATTGACTATGCGTTTGTGTTAAGTAGAAAAATTATACATATGTATATACATATGCATGCATGACTGTGCTGGCGGGTATACATATGTATGTATGTCCAAGACATCGCCGAACAAGCCGTTTGAATGGTGATTAACAATGCAGCCGCCGTATACTTCTAGCAAGTTATCGATAGTTTCAAGATCGATTACAGTCTTATATCTCTCTAAGCTAAATTGATTTAAATCTATTTTTATTTATCAATCATTTAATTTAGTTAAGATTTAACCAATTCAAACGAATATATGTATGTACATATGAATGTACATATATACAGTTAAAAGCAGTAGTACAAAAAAAAATAGTCGGGAAAATAGTTGATAATCTTGCGTATAATAGTTTCGTGTATTGAAGTCTGAGAACACTCATCGACAACAAGATTTGAGTACAGCTCAAGCTTACTCCGTGTTGCTGCTAGATAAACCATTGACTTTCGGCAAGGTAAAAAAAACAGCTGGTATTGTAGAAAGTGTCACAGTCACAATGACAATGGGTGCGTTCAGTGAACTGAGCGCTTAGTAAACATGTTTAGTGAGCACTCACCATATTGGTGAGCGTAAAAATTGTATGCTACTTGCTGCTGATCGTTCAACTGCTGCATACAGAAAAAATGAATCGCGAAAATTAAAGAGTGTTTTTACTTGAAAGTGCTTATTTATATATTATATTTCGCAGAACTTATTATGTGCTATAAATCAACACAAAATGTCACTCAAATTTTTATCGAGAAAAATATGTTGTTTTCATTGTGGATAATAGAAAAGCAAGAGTATTTTTTAGCGTTTGGAGATCGCTTTAATATTCCAAATAGCAGCGGACACAATATATTATAAAAATTGTGCTTCACGAAATATATAAATTGACTCCGACATTTATAAAATGGTCCAATGCAACCAAACAAGCAAATACATAAGGCAACATTTCAGAATCATTCTGGTTTAAGTGGTGTAATTGGCGCTATAGATTGATGCCACATCAATAACAAGCAACCAATTGGAAATGCTCAAGACTACTCTAATAGAAAACAGTTTCATTCCATTATACTACAAGTATGTTTGTGATGCTTCTGGGCAGTTCATTTATGTCTTCACCGGAATGCTTGGTAGAATGCATGACGCACGAGTTTTCATAAATAGTAATTTATATAAAAGATTATCGTGCCCCACTTTTAACCCAAGAACACCATCTTCTCGGCGACTCCGCTTATCCACTTATGATGAATTTAATGACCCCTTTTCGTGGCAAAGGTCATTTGCAAACAACCCAAATACTTTATGATGCGAGATTAAGTAAGAATATGTCCATTATTGAAAGTGCATTGTACTATCACAAAGAAAAAAGAAGAATTTAATTCACACAAGATATTAAAAATAAATTAACAACTAAACATACAGATAACTTTACAACTTTTCCTATATTTTCTCCCATATCCTGTTCCTTTCTTTTTGCACTTGAATTGATTGTGCCATCTGTATTTTAATGTCCTCCCAGGTTGCGACACGTTTTTTTTCCAGCTCCAGCAGGTATTGACGTTGACGGTATGTACTTTTGTTATTGTTTTGTTGACTGGATGGATTGGGAATTGGTGGTAATGGTGACTCTGGTATTGGAGCTGGTGTTCCGGTTACTCTCAGAATTTACTGCAAACACAAAAAATGTTTGTAAATATGTTTTGTATATATAATTTTTAAGATAATTACTTTTAAATAATAGAGCCATGACAAATTCACAACTAGTTTCGGCAGTTGAAGTAGCGGTTAATGTGGTCGTTTCGGCATTTGAAATAGCGTTGCGTTCATGAAAATTAATCGCTCACTGAACATGTTTACTGAGCGCTCAGTTCGCTCAATGCACCCAATGTCACAGAGAAAAATGCTGCCTTGGAAATATTGCCTCGGGCTGCCGGACGGTAATATCAAAAGTGGAGAAGAAGGAAGCGAAAAGAATTCTCACAAAAACAACAACAAAAATAAGACAAAGGTCGAAATATTTAAGTATAAAGTTCCTGATCAGCCGTCCGATAAAGGTAATGAACGAAAATAGCTAACTACATATAAGAAGATGCGTACATTTACAGTTTAAGACTGATGCATATTTATGTAGGTACAAAAAAGGGAGATTTGGTAAGGCATCATAGAAACACTTTTCTATACTATTAAATTACCATGAAATCGCAACAGCCGAAGATAGTGAGCCCGTATTCCCAATCGATGACAATGGAATAGATGGTGGCAACTATAACTTTAAAAAAGAACAAAGCGGCAGTAGTGCAGCGGCAATCAATGGTTCAAATATGATAGTTAGATGATCGGATGAGAGAATGACCGGTAACGGAAACCCAAGTGCACACCGCCCAATCCAAAAGAGCTAAAACCATGCAATCTGTGCCAACTATCGCGGGATAAGTCTTCTCAATAGCGCATAGAGGGTATTTGTAGCGTAGTGCACACTGTGTGAGCGACTAGTTCGAAGTGCTTAGAAGCAGGCAAAGCTAGTCGATGCTATCGAGGTCATCCAATGAGAGGCTCAAGAAAACAGCTGTCTAGAGGAAGATAAGTGTTAGATAAGTGGGTATTATTGGGTAAGCAAAGAAGTGTTTATTGACCTGCTGACATCTTTGCATGCCAAACTTAATTTCTTCAGATACAGTAATTTGTAGATGAACACATATTCATGTTGCGCATAACTTTGTAAAATATCCCTAAAGGAAATATCTACACACACCATCTCTCCCACGATTCGAAACCTTCTCTTTGTGGATTTGGCGATTATCTAACCTCAATTAATCACCGTACCTATTTAAACAATTTATCGATTATTTTTAGCGGCCATAGCTCACTCATCAACCTACATACATATGCACATACATATATACATGGTAAACTAATGCACTCACCATTGCCCTGCACAAACTCACCATCACTATGAAACGAAATACCAGATACCCGATAAAACTCAGAAAAATAACCCTCCAAATAAATGTAAAATAAACGTATGAATGTACATACATACATATACATAGTATGTAGGTAATGAAGATTAACACCGGAGTAAACTGAAATTGTGTGGTGGCGATATTCAACACGAAATACTGTATGTATGATGAATGTACAGTAAAATACAAATGAAGCGAGTCCAAAGCAAATACGAACGTGCTGAATATAGAATTATGAAAGCTTATAGTTACATATATACATACGTGATTAAATATCTACCTACTCGAATTCATATTTCCATAACTATGTATGTATGTACATATGGACATCTGATTATTTATTATGAATTTAACGAACACAATTACAGTTGCTCAGAGTTGAAACGAACGAACGATCGTGAAGGTTCTCTAGTGAAGTCTAAACAGTCGTAAAGACAAATAAGATTTGCATAGATATTTTAAAATTGGAGACTTTACATTCGCTGGGAGATCGCTTGTTAATATATAATATTATACATATGTATGTATGTAAATTTATACATGCTCATAGCTAAACATTTTTAGTTAATTAATGAAACCTATTGTTCAAAATCTTAATAAAAAATACCGTTAATTTTAATACGCTCTTTGGCTGTTATTATTATTAGGTGTAGTAAAAAGAAATTCATTATTATGCCAATAAGTCCGATCGGGTTCCGCCAGATGAGGCTAGAAAGATGGCATTTCGCACTAAAAAAAGCTTTTCTGACAGTTTTGTGATTGGATGATTCAGTTTTGTTTGAGCGTGCGCCAAAGATGGACACTAGCAAATACGCTATATTTTACAGTTTTTCTTCGATAAGGGCGAAAACGCAAGCCAGGTAGCTGAAAATGTAAATATCTTTTATGTTCCTGACACTGTTTCAGTCAATCATGCACAATTTCGGTTTCATTCCGGTAATTTTGATGTAAAAGATACTTCACGGAGCGTCAGGCCACTTGTCGAAAATATCGATAAAATCATGAACATAGTAGAGTCCGACTATCATTTAAGCACTGTTTCGATTGCCCAAGAGCTAAAGATTGCACAAAACCCGTTGGAATTTGCTGGATAAGAAAATAAATATAATAATTAAACCATTTAATTTTTATGCAAAAGTAATGGATTTCTTTTTACTGCACCTAATATTAGTTTTTAATTGGGATAACTTCTCCAACAGCGGCGCACAAAACTTCCTCTAGTAAATCCTGCCATATTTTCGGTAAGTTCTGTAACAACATTAAATCTCAATAGAATTTGTTTTGAATCTGAATTTGTTTGTTTATTTATTCAAACAATTTATTCAATTTATTCATTCAAACTTGCGTTTTGCTCCATCAAAAATCTGTTCTTCAACGCCTACCGAAAACCAGTATATTTTGAGAGCCACTTGAAAACACTTTCCCATCGATATGTGAACTAGTTTTTGCGATAAATTTATCGAAGGAGTGGTGGTATATTAACATATCTGAACATTCGATATTAACAAATTGCAAATTATTTAAAAGTGCGTCAGCGATTAATATTGTCAAAAAATCCATCAGCTGAGTGTTCGTCGCAAAGAAGATCCCAACCATCGCAATAACCAGACACTGTCTGATGATGACTCATGGTACAAAAAGAGCTTCTCTAACACCAGAAGGGATATAAATATTGAAAAGTCGGAGGAGCCCTGCCACGCCACGTCTTTTCGCTATCCTGACTGGTACTTAGTTTGCGAACGTCCGCATAACAGCAGTTATATTATTTGGCAACATTATTATATGTCAAAGGATTTGACATTGATAAAATTTCATTGCGCATGATTCTCTTTAACGTCAAAGCGCCTTCGAAGGAGAACGCGGCAAAGTTGGAAAAAATGAAAATCGTTGGAAAAAAAAGGAATATATTAGGGATATTCTTACCGGGCAACAGTTTTCATGTAATATTCGTCTCACCCCCGAAAGGAGAGAGACAGCGAAATGGAAATGACAAATGAAATGAGCGAGTAAAGTACGAGTAAAAGTACAACTGCGTACGCGAATGCGTGACATTTTATCGATTTATAAACAGTATAAACTTTCCTAGAGTATGTAACAGTAGAAGTACTTAGAGCTAACAGTGAAATCAACGTTAACTTTGTCAACCGCCAATTTCATTTGCGATAATTAATACTTGAATGAGCTGAAGAAATAATAGAAAATAAAAAAGTCGTTACTGAAAAAAGAAAAAAATTGTCTTCGATTTCAAAGTTTGTAAAATCATTGAGGGAGCTTAGTTATTAATTACTAGCAGCAAAGTAAGACGATAAAAGGGATAGGCGGACACATAAAAATCGCGCCAAGAAGTTGAGAAATTCCTTTACTTTAGTGTCAGTAGGAAGGTAAGTAAAAATCGAAAATAAACTTTTACTTAGAACATATAGACATGTAAAGATAATAATAATGTATACTTGTGCATATGAATAAATACTTATTAAAATACCGTTAAATTACTTACAAGCATAATGTGCGTTTACATACACCAGCATGTACATGCCTACAAATTTGTTAAATAAAAGTGTGAATGCCTATTTCTCAATTTTATTGATATACAGTTTGAGAGCCATAATACGTTTCAGCACTATTGCGAACTAAAGCCAAAGAACGTATATTAATATGCGCAAAGAACGTATATTAATATGCGTTCTTCGGCAAAAACGAGTAAGAAAACGCAAAAACGCAAAAAAATTTAGAAAGGCTTATAAATTAAAAATTAACTGTAGCTCACATTATTATTTATTTTTCTCAAAAAAAATAAGAGAAGAAATTAGTAGTAAATATTAAATACGTTAAACGTTATGTATACAAAGCCGATGAATGGTTAATCTTTTCTGCATTACTGGCATTTCCAATTTTGCCTGCAAATCGAAAAATGTTTTAATAAATAATTTCTCTTCTTCTCTCAAATAAATATTTCCTTAGCGTTGCTTGCGGCTAAGTCAAACTGTGACGCAATGCAGCGCAGAAATTTTACATGCAAACGACTTAAAGGTTGTTTAAAAAATTTATATACGTTTATACATGTTAAATACACAAAAAATTAATGATTTTATTATTACAAAAAAAAACATAAAAGCGTTGTTTTTTACATATGTATGAGTGTTTCGATATATGTTAATAAATTAATTTTTTAAATTTTATCTCGAGTAATCTCTCGCGTCATGACATTTTTCACAGCTGTCAATAGGTTGACAAATGTTTTTCAATTGTGAATGGCTTTAAAAATAAATTTCCCACCCGCTTACTCGTATAAAATTCCCAATAGCCGAACGTGATAGAAGCCGCCTGATAGAAGCCGCCTAAGCATCTTTCCTCTTGCTCTTTCACACTCTCTCTTGTATATTAACAGCAAATTGTACTCTCTTTGTGGCTGCATTTTTTACCATTCGCCGTATAGCGAAAAAGCAGAGTACCGCGAAAAGCCGTGCAAACAACACGTTAAACGTGAGTGGAATATATTTAGTGGAAATTATATAGCCCAATATATTTTGAAAAGTACCTATACAAAGGAATTTTCATTTCATTTGTTTTTTTTATATATTCGCCAATTTTTGAAGTATTGAACTTTTCTTAAAGAATATCTCCGGTAAATGTTTTAAGAAAACTATAGTTTTCATTGAGAAATTTATCGAGTGCGTGATTGAAGAAGATAACCAAAATTTTGAGGAAAAAAATATCAACTAGAGAAAATAAGTGCCGAAAAGCCAATTGAAAATATAGAAAAATAAGAGCTATTTGCAAAAAGCAAGCACTAGTAGCAGAAATTGTACAGGTAAGTTGGAAATGTAACGGTGAAAATGAGGAAAAATGTGAAATATTGTATAAAAAATGGTACTAAAAAAAATGCCTCAGCGTATTTATGGGTGTTGGGTTGACAATTGGTGCATGTGGGTAGAATAAGTAGATACGTTAAAGGTGCCTCAGTATATGATGTGTTCTTCTTTTGCTGTATCTTGTGTAGCGCAGGATGAAGAGCGTACTTTGGTCCGAATGATAGAAAATATTGTTGCCATTATGTGTAGCCTCTTCGGTTAGAGGGTGGTGACATTCAATCACCCAAATACCCAACCAGCAGGTGGTGCACTAATGATTTTGCAAGATTTAACAAAACAGATATTTTTATGTGCATAGGTGGGAAGGTTCTGAATGGGTGATTTCATAATTAGCAACAAAATGAAAATTCGAGAATTTCCAAAACGTGCGAAATATGTAAATTTCTTAGTCAGTCAGTGCGTTCATTTACATGTTGATGACAAATAAATAATTTTTTTTATTTTAAATATTGCAATATAATATAATATGTACATTGATACATGTGCATATTTGGCTTGAGTTCTGCCGTATTTCGAAAGATGGCTCAATAAAAACTATGAAAACCTCCTAAATGAGAACTTAAAATTAAAACCAATACCAGTTTTCCTATTTTTCTTTGAACAAAAGTCATGCCAAGCGGAAGCTATATGACAAATTCAAATACATATCAACGCATATGCAAAATATGAAACAACCAAAATGTTAACTAAGCCCAAATCCAGTATTTTCTTGATTAGCTCAAAATTTTTCGGTATGTCTTTAAATGGAGAGCCAGCGGCTATATGTAGCTATGACAAAAACATGTGGACTTATGAATATGTAGGTATGGATTTAAGAGGCACAGTGCTAAACTAGCGCTTATAAATGTTTGGTTAGATGAAATTTTGTATACTGACGTAATATCTGGTAAAAATAGAAGCTTATTGACTAAATTGGTAACACATTTGGTTATACCGGAGTTTTGTAGGAATTGTGTGTTTTATTTAAGGTATAGCCAAAGTAGTGGATACTAAACACCTAGTTGACATAGAATGGAGCTACTATGTTTGAATATTTTTACAGCTTTGGGTTTGAAAAAGTGCTTACCCATTTATTTCCTTGTGCTGTCATTAATATTATATTTTTTTTAGATAGTTCCGATGCATTACAAATTCAAAAAATATTTATGTATGTATAATGTGTACCTACATACATTTGCATATTTCCATTGCCTCCTTCATTCTTACTTTAGTTCCTGAAAAAAAAATATATATTTTTCAGTTGTCTGTGTATGTGTGTCTCCCTTAAAAAATTAAAATAAAATATACCTCTGAACATTTCGGGACATATTTATAGCCTTAAAAATATTAATTTATGTATCTTAACATAAATTATGGCAATATTTTTTTTACCACGAAATAACTTTCAGAAATCATCATGGCAAACAAAAAGTAATAAATTAAGTATGAGCTAGTTGCATCGCTTTAGTTGCATATTGAATCAGGCAGCTAGCAAGCCTTTGCGATTTACATACCTACACCAAACATATGTACATACATATATGTTTGCATACATATGTATATAAGTTTAGTATTTAACTTCAATACATTTAACACACAAAGGCATACAAATTATCTTAGCGAAAATATAGAAAAACAATTTTGAGAAATTTTCACACTATAATTAACTGACATTTCATAGCCGAGTGCAGGTGAATGCAACACAGATCTAAGCGAAGGAGAAATGTTTAAACAAAAAAACTTGTCAGTGAAATGAGGGCGCTAAAAAGTGTCTGCCACGCTGCGCCTTTGTTTATAAGTTATTTGCTTGTAGATATGTATGAACTTAGAGTTTTCTTTTACAGCTTTTTATAATATGATTTCGGAAAAGGTTCATATTATTAGTTTTACCATTATACATATAGATACATGCATACATATATGCAAGCCACTGTCCATAACCCTAGCAACAAATATACTTTAATGTATATTTTAAATTAAATTAAAATTTTAAAATATATACATACCTAACACCTTAGCAGAAATAATGAATTAAATAAAAAATTATTTTCAACCTTTTTCAAGTAATCTCAAAAATTTATTGCAAGTACAATAATTTGCATGCAGTGCATCGCAATTATTTTCGCTTACAACAGTTTTAATGCCAATGGCAATAGCAGCAAGATGTGAAAGTAATTTTTTCACATTACTAGACACACATTTGCTCTGCAACTGCACGTGAAAATTGTACGAATTTTAATTTGCAATTTAAATAAAATGCATACGTCATCGTATTTTGCTGTAACAATATATAGCAACACACGGATTTATGTACATATGTATGAACATATTTACACACATATTTTTTAATTCAATATCATTATACAATCCAACCCACGCGAGCGACGCAACCACGATACGCCGTTTAAACACAACAAGGTGGCTTTTTAAACTAAGCGGGTGTGTGTGATTCAGAGATTTAGTATAATGCATACCCGAAATTACAATAAAAAAATTTAGACTGCGTTCTTATTGCACATTTCAGTTTTTATTTCAATTTATCTTTCGCACACATAATTTGCACATATCCTTTTATGATTTTTTTTTTGTCAAACACAATGCTTTTATGTCACTTTTACTTTTCAGTTTTATTTATTTTTTATTTTATAAATTTCCCTTTCGTATGGTGTTAGGGCTTAACCTACATCAACATCAGCTGTCCTTCCGTCATTTATTTATAAAACACGTATTCATAGTTCTTATGACAAATTGCTAAAATGAATAATAAGAGATTTACAACGCCGTGACGTTTTGTACTGTCATTGTAGTAGCCGATTTCGCGCGTTATTAGGCGCTAAGTGTCAATTGTTGCACTTTACCTTCCTTTAATATATGTATAACTATGTATGCAAAAACCTGGGTGCGAGAGTTGATAAGCAAGCAAGCAAGTAAGCTGCAAAGCTCATGTAGGCTTATTGTGTTTGTTGTTGCAGTCAGCAGCTGACTTGACTTTCGTAGTCTGTTTGTGCCGGCAGCTCGCTTGATTTCATTTTGATCTTTACCGCTAATTTGTTTATTTATATTGTTGACGTTTTATTGTGTTGTCATTCATTCATTAATTCGGTAATTCAATTGCGGGCATTTAATATTATATTTTTAGCTACATATGTATGTGTACGCATATAAATAATTTTTATTTATACTGGTTCATATGACTTGCGTTTTCAGTGCAGTGATGGTTTTGTAATGCATTTAATGATACCAGATGCACATAGTGTATGAGATTTCTGTTTTCCTTTTTTTACTATTGTATATTCTTTTTTTTTACTATAAGGCACCAACTAATAATGGTTGAGTTTAAGGAAAATGTTTGTATCCTTAAACTCAACCATTATTTTTTTTATACATAAATAAATGAAAATGAAAACAAATAAATAAATAATAATATAAATAAATAAATAGTGGTAAAAATAAATAAATAAAAGTATAAATAAATAAATAGGAGTATAAATAAATAAATAATAGTATAAATAAATAAATAGGAGTATAAATAAATAAATAAACAAAAGTGTAAATAAATAAAATATAAATTAAAATATTAACAGCATAAAAAATAAAAAAAAAAAACAGTATGAAGAATATATTGTAAGACAATAAAAAAATAAAAAATATAAAATAATAAAAAAAATAAAATAATAAAAAAAATAAAATGTAAATAAATAAAAATAAAAATATAAAAAAATAAATAAAAAAAAAATATAAAAAAATAAATAAAAAAAAAATATAAAAAAATAAATAAAAAAAAAATATAAAAAAATAAATAAAAAAAAATATAAAAAAAAATTAAAAAAAATATAAAAAAATAAATAAAAAAATATATAAAAAATAAATAAAAAATATATAAAAAATAAATAAAAAATATATAAAAAAATATATAAAAAAATAAATAAAAAAAATATAAAAAAATATAAAAAATAATAAAAAAATAATAAAAAAAATAAATAAAAAAAATAAAAAAAAATTAAAAAAAAAATAAAATAAAAATAAAAAAAAATAAAAAAAAATGAAAAAAAATTTAAAATTAATAAATAAAAAAATAAAAAATATATAAAAAAATAAAAAATAAATAAAAAAATAAAAAATAAATAAAAAAATAAAAAATAAATAAAAAAATAAAAAATAAATAAAAAAAATAAAAAATAAATAAAAAAATAAAAAATAAATAAAAAAATAAATAAAAAATAAATAAAAAATAAATAAAAAATAAATAAAAAAATAAAAAAATAAAAAAATTAAAAATAAATAAAAAAATAAATAAAAGAATAAAAAAATAGAAAAATAAAAAAATAGAAAGAAATAGAAAAAAATAAATAAAAAAATAGAAAGAAATAGAAAAAAATAAATAAAAAAATTAAAAAAAATAGAAAGAAATAGAAAAAAAATAAATTAAAAAATTAAAAAAAAAAATAGAAAACATTATTTATATATTTAAATTTTTATTTTTTTATTATTATTTATTAATTTTTTTTATTACATATTATTTTCTTTATTTTTTATTTCTATAATTTTGTTATTTCTTTTATTTACTTATTCCTTTTGAGTTTTTGTCATTTGTGTGCATTAGTATAGGCCAAAGGGTAACCGTACTAACTAAAAAAACAAAAAATAGTAAAGCCCCTTCCCAAGTCTGACCGCGTTCTTCGCAGCAGCATAGTTTTTAAAAACAATTCCATACATTAAGGCGCATTGGCATCACTTTATCTTGCATCAATTTTCCAAATCCTACGTCATCGTATTCTTTACTATTTAAAAACGTGCCGTCTTAGCACAGCGAATGACTTCAGTATCCATCTGTTTTGAATTTGTGGTGGTGGCTTAAAGGTGGTTTTGTTGTTCTGCTTGTTGACAGGCTGGCGCCGCCGCATACTAATACAATTAACTGTTTGTCTATATATACAATTACAAACAGAGAGAACGAAAATCTCCACCATTTGCCTTTGTATTCATACAAACCAGACATTTCGTGTTGTCTTACGTTGTGACATTTCTTTGCACTTCCGTTTATAAGCCGCTACCTGCGTTTTCATTACCAATTGTGCAAACTAATTGCCTTCACCTAATCAAATTGCTCGCAGTCTTTCCGCTCGTTAGCGATTTAAATTTCTTTTTCTTATGCTTGCCCCTTTTTGTCCATGAATGTGGGATAGCGACTATAAGCCCTATGCTGTCTATTGCTGTTGACACGCGCATTTATGGTTTTTTGCGGCATTTCATGGTGCACGTTGCTAAGCTTTTGCCCTTTTGGAGGGCCTGCCATTCTTAACATTGCTCAAATACCAATACATCAAGGGGAAATAAAAACGTATATTTTCATACATACAAAGGTGGACAGACAATTTGATTAAGCGCTCTATTCAAGGAGCATATTTTTCTTTATCGCTTATGTAGTGGTGAAAGAATGTGATATTACAATGGCATATTAATTGAATGCTTCTAATGAAAGGTGCGCCACACTCAACACGGGATGATTTTTTAACACAACTCGTTGTGAGTTATACATTCAAAAGTGGCAGAAAAGCGTGAAAACACCGTAATCAGTACTTTTCCGTATTTATGCGTTTTTACTGACCTATTTCGAATGAAATTGGCTATGTTTCTGTGTCTGGCTGTGTACAGCACAATGGTGTCGTCTGGCGTTTTAGGCCGCCTCATATCCACATTTAGCTAGCGCAAGTGTTGTGCGTGCTTTTCGGCGAATTCATCATGCTTCTCCCCTGTACCGTTGCGCGCCTAACACATTGCTTAAACTATAATATGACTTATAATTTTTTCTGAGAAGCGTTGCTAAAATGTTCGTTAAAAGAAATACTTAAGTGTATTAGATATTTTTAATACATTTAAAACTTTTTTTATTGGAATTTCTTTCAGCTCAAAGTTTCCTCGTGTTTAAAATTTCAGTTTTACCAGTCGATTCTTCTCTTATATTCTATAATTTTCAGCTGAAATTGAGCAATTTTTTTGGTTCAAAACTTCAAGCTATGAGAGTACGCCCAAATGTATGTTACACGAAATTAATTTTTTTTTATTTTTTAAACATTTTGAAATGAATTCATTTTTTATTTTTTTTTTCTTTAAAAATTTAATTATTTTTTATTATATGATTATTTTAAATTTTAATTTAGTTTCAAATTTAAAAATTTGTTTTTATTTAATTCATTTAGTTCCTTTTTTTATTTTTAATTCCTTTTTATTTTTTATTTCATTTTATTTTTTTCTCATATTTATTTTATTTATTTTTTTATTTATTTATTTCGTATTTCTTATTTAAAATTAATGAATTTTTTTATTATTTTACAAAAATTTTTAAATTTTATTTATTTATTTTCTTTTTAATTATTTTTTTAAAGCTATTATTTTTTAATTATAATTTTTTTAATCATTACATTTTTAGTTTTTTATTTATTTGATTTTCTTTTTTCTTTTTATTGTTTAATAATTTCGAATATGTTCTTAAATATTCCTATGAAATTCGAATACATGTTTTCAGCTTAGGCTATCTACGAAGTGCCTTGTAAAATTTATTAATTTTTTGGTTTTCCTTATGCTTACTTACTTTTAATTTTTGATTTTACTTTTATAATTTTTAATTATATTAATATCTTTAATTAAAGGCATTTATTTATGTTAATTTAAATTTTTGTTTTTATTTAATATTTTTTCAATTTTGTTTTTATTATTTTATTTTTATTTTTTTTATTTTATATTTTTATTTAATATTTTTAAATTTTATTTTTTTCTTTTTTTAAATTTATATTTTACGTATTTGTGTTTTTACTTCTATATTTTTGTTTTTTATTTTAAATTTATTATTTATTTATTCATTTTAAAATTCTATTTATTTAATTATTTTTAATATTTATTTTTTTATTTATTTTTTTTTACTTTTTTATTTTTATTTTTTTATTTTTTATTTATATTTAATTTGTATTATTTTGATTGTTATACATTTTTTTAATCTTTCTATTTTCTTGTTCTAATTTTTTTCTATTCTATAATTATGTATATATATTTATTATTTTTTTAATAAATAATTCTTTTTTATTATTATTTTTTTTATTATTATTTTTTTACTTTTTTTATTATTTTTTTATTTTTTTTATTATTATTTTTTATTTTTTTTTTATTATTATTTTTTTAGATTTTTTATTATTATTATTTTTTTTATATTTTTTATTATTACTTTTTTTATTTTTTTTTTTATAATTTTTTTTTATAATTTTTTTTTTATTATTTTTTTTTATTATTATTATTTTTTTATTATTTTTCTTATTTCGTTTATTTTGTCACTACATGAACTCACAAATGGGAAAGGTTCCTCGCATTGCGCCCCAAAGTATGCAGTATTTATAAAATTCAATTCCTACATCATTAAGAATGTTACGTTTCAAGCAAAACAAATCTTAAATAACAAAAACTTCTTTAATTTCTTATGATATGCCACTGTATGCGGTAAGCATATTGAATTTCAAAAGAAAACTTAAAAGTTATTACAGTAAAAATTATTTATTAACAGTTATTATGTATTGAGGCATGCAACTACTATATTTGTTAATCAATAAAATAATAAAAAAATCCCTAATAATGGCTTTAATGCCAAAAAGTATGTTTTATCGGAAGCTATAATAAGAAAACTCGCGTGTTTTACTGCCGTTTTTATTTGTTTAATTTAGTTTTCATTGTGTAGAAAGTAGAAAAAGTAAAATAAAGCAAAACGATGACGATGTAACCGATATGACGCTGTTTGTATATATATGTCTTTAAGAGTATGTGTAAAAATTATCCGCGCGCTGATTGACTGAGTGACAGCCCAGCGCTCATTGCCAGGGTTGTAAGGGTAATGGGGAAAAGAGTGCCATTTAACTGTTGTTTCTTTGCAGCTAACATTTGTTTTAGTTGTTTGCAGAAAGAAAGGACATGTGTAATATGCGCAAATATTGTGATTATTGTTTGAAAATCGAACAACTTTCTATGTCATACCGTTGTTTCGACGTAATAATTGCTATTGCTCACAAATATGCATTGCAGAAGTTTTTATGGTTATTTGCAACTATTATCGTTTAGGTTAAATTAAAAAAATTAAAAAAAATGCATATGTAATAAAAATTAATTAAAAATCATATATATACATATGTATTTTGCATTGTAAAATTGACGATATTTAACAATTTGAAATTATTTTTTATAACAACAAAACTTACTTTTTTCATTAAAAATTTCTTTTCTAATAATTTTTAAACTTCTTTCCAGTTTATTTGCAGATTTATTGCTAATTTTTATTAGAAGAAATTTAAATAAAAAAACACAAACAAAATGTCAGATCGCAAAGCAGTGATTAAAAATGCCGATATGAGCGAGGAAATGCAGCAGGATGCTGTTGATTGTGCGACACAGGCATTGGAAAAATACAACATTGAAAAGGTAAGCCTGAAAATGCATACATAATTTATTAAAATTTTTTTTTGAAGGTTTCTAGCATTTTTTTTTATTGATTTAAATGTGCTACTGAAAAGTTGGAAATATATATAAGTATTAAAAACAATTTAAAACAAGTAAGAATCAAAAGTTAGTTTCTTACACTGTATTTAATGTGAAGTGGTAATCGTAATGTAGGCCAGTATTTTTTATCCGAGGCTTTGTTTGATTTTTCATTGGAGTGTATTTTCCATGGAGTGGCTGCAAGACCTTACGCACAACCACAGTGGAATTCGCCTTCTCACTTTAGCTTGCCAACAAAAGAAAGTTGTTTTGGCTTCTCTGAGGACGCTTGGTCCAAAGCCACAAGTCGTGAGTTTATTTGAACCATATGTCAAATAATAGTTTTGGCCCTTCCCAGATAAATGGTACTCAAAAACTCTCCTCACTTGCGGGAATTTTTCTACATATGGCTTCATCGATGATTAATAGCACCGCACTTCAATGTATCTATCTAACTCTATATGTATGTATGTATATGAAATAAATGCATAGATGGATTTTTATCTACAATAATTTGTTTTTTATTTTTATTTATTAATTTTTTTATTATTATTTTATATCATTTCACTTTACTTTGTATAATTTTTACTTTATTTTTTAATTTATTTATTTTTAATTTTATTTTAGTCATTTTATATATATATTTATTTTAATTAAAATTTTTTTAAATTATTTCTTTTATGTTATTTTATATATTTTAAAAAAAATTTTTTTTTTATTTCAATAGATATTTTTTATCTATTTTAATTTGTTTATATTAATTGCAGTTACAAATAATAAAGTTTTTATTTATTTCATTTCAGTTCATTTGAATTTTATTATATTTCTTGTTTATAAAATTTAATTTATAATATTTTATTTTCATTCTTAGTTTCGCTTTATTTTGCAGTCATTTCGTTTGAATTTTGTTTTTTTTTATTCTATTTTAATGTTTTTGCTTTATGTCATTATATTTTAATATTTATGTTTTATATTTTATGGTATTTGAATTTTTTATGTATTTATTATAATTAATTCTTTGTTGGTATTTATTATATTTGATTTTTTTACTACTAAATCTCATTTTATTCTCAGTAATTAATTCAAATTTCTTTGTAATAAAATTTATTTTATTTTGTTTTAATTTTGTATACTTTAATATTTTTTAATTTAATTTAATTTTATTTTTATTAAAATATTTGTTAAATTTTTTTATGTAAATTATGAATTTTATTTTTTTTAATCATTTATTTTTTTATTTAAATTATTTACCTAATTTTCTTATTTAATTTTTTTATTTTTTTTAAACCTAAATTATTTATTTTATTTTTTATTTATATTAATTTTTTTGTTTATATTCATTTTTTTATGAATATTATTCGATAATTTAGTCTCTTATAATTATTTATTGAAGTTTTTATCTAAATTATATACATATTTTATTTTTGGAATTAAATTATTATTTTTTTTTATCAAAATTATTCAATATTTTGTTAAAAAATAAATTTAATTCATAAAACAAAATGTTTTTCTTTAGTTAGTTTATTTGTTCCATTTATTAAATTTATTTTTTAATTAATTTCTTGCAACCCAGATGTGTCGTTAGCGATGTACACCATCTCCTCTCTCATTATTGCTTAGTCGTCTTTGCTGTTTTTATCTCAGCGCGACCAGGCGCGCGCACTGCGGACCAAGTTAAACAAGAAACTTTGCGAAACTTTTCATTTTTGATTTTTTTTTCTGCACCGTCTGTTTATTTTTCCATCGCTTATCAAGGGATGGAGATAAAAAAGTTAACTGCTGCTGTGCTTTACTTACGAAAAGGCGATAACTGACGACAAAGGAAAGCATATAATTTTGTTGTTAAGCATTACTAAGCTTTATGTAAGCAAAAAAAAAAAAAAAAGTTTGTTCAACAAATAGCACATAGAAAGACGAAAAAGCGCGCGTGAAGGGCGAGAGACGTGGTAAAAATCAGATCAAACGCAAGAAAAGATTATTGAAAGAATTAAGTCGTTGATCTTTCAATGCTTTTTTAAGTTTTTTTTCGGATGCTGCATTTGATATTCGTGTGAAATTTCTTTTTGCAACATCAGTATTACTAACTTGCAGTTTTGCTCGCAACCATTTCATTTTAGCTTTACATGCTTGATTACCCCCATTTTTTCTCCAACTTTGTACCGCTTTTTGGCATTTGAGGTGAAAACATCACTTTTGTGTGTGTGGTTGTTGTAATTTTCCCTTGAGTTTGGGTTGTTTTAAACATTTTCGTTTTTTTCTGTTGGTGCAGCTTATTCAACTTCAACCTCAATTTACTTTTAACATTGTAAAGTGCTATTCTGAGTAGTGTTGTTAAAGCGAATAAGTAAAATTCTTCAGAATAAAGGAAGAAAGTTCGAGACATACTTTTAAATCGAATAATAAAATTGTGCATGTTTTATTTCAATTTAGAAAAAATGAATAAGTTTATGAGTATTTTTTTTTTATTTTGGCATTTATAGCTCAAAGATTTTCAAATTAAAAGTTTTTCAAACAGTTTTTAATGCAATTTTTATTTATTTTTGTACAGTTTTTATATGTCTTTTATTTATATCTATGTATTAAGTTTTTTCCCTTTTTTATTTATTCTTTTAATTCCTCTACACATCATCTTCTTTAATAACTTTTTCTAATTTTTTATCATACCTTTTTTTCCGTTTGAGTTTACTTAATTTAATATGTGATTGATGTCGCTTTTGTTGTTATTCTAGTTTTCTTATCTTGATTTGTTTAGACTACGTTCATTTTTGTTTATTTTGTCTACTCAAAATTTATTAAATGTCTACATAATTAAGATTGTTTATATTAATTTAAGCTTTGGGATAGTATGTACTCGCTGATGTTGTTGATTTTATTATTTAGGCATTGTGTGTGGGGGGGAAGAGAAATTAGAGAACAAAACAACCTAAAAATTATTTGGATCATCTAAAAATAACCAAAAAGGTAAAGATAAAGATGTCATAAAAATTTATGGTTAAAAAAGAAAGTATTGTAAATTACAAAGTATGATATAAACATAAAAAATAAAATATAAATATAAAAAATAAAATATAAATGTAAAAAATAAAATATAAATATAAAAAGTAAAATATAAATATAAAAAGTAAAATATAAATATAAAAATTAAAAAATGAAAGAAAATATTAAAAACAAAAAAAAAAAATAAAACAAAATAAAACATTAAAAATAAATATGAAAAATAAAAAAAAAATATTAAAAATAAATATAAAAAATAAATATAAAAAATAAATATAAAAAATAAAAAAAAATAAAATATTAAAAATAAATATAAAAAATAAACAACAAATATAAAANAAATAAAAAAAAAATAAAAAAATTTAAAATTAATAAGAAGTAATAGAATTGATAATAAAACAATGATAAATAAGCAAAACAATAATAAACAGTAGAAAAATAATAATAAAAGTAGAAAAATAATAATAAAAGTAGGAAAATAATAATAAAAGTAGAAAAATAATAATTAACAGTAGAAAAATAATAATAAAAGTAGAAAAACAATATTAAATAGTAGAAAAAATAATAATAAATAAATAAGTATATAAAAAATGAAAAATTAAAAAAAAGTAATAAGAAAAAAAATAAATAATACACAATAAAATAATAAATAATAATAAAAATTTAATAGCTAAATAACAAATACTACTCCGACAAAAGGTGATTAAACAAATAAAACATTAAGCATAAGATAATACAAATTCAATAACAATAAAAAAAGATATAGAGAAATTAAAAATAAAATTTAAAGATATATAAAATTGAAAAATTAAATAAATAGATATAAAAAAATTTAAAAAAGAGATAAAATAAAAAAAGAGTTATACAAAATAAAAAAATTAAATTATATAATAAAATAAAATAGAATTAAAAATAAATTTAAATAAATGAATAAATTGAAATAAAAAAAAAATAGAATTAAAGATAAAATAGAATTAAAAATAAAGTAGAAAAACATAATAAATAAAATTCAATATCAAAGCAAAATTTAATATAAAATAAGATAGAATAAAAATTTTAAAATAAAACAAAATAGAATAAAAAATATAAAAATTAAAATCGAATACAAAATAAAATGGAATATAAAATTAAATCAAATAAATAATAACAGAGAAAAAACCGTGAAATAAAAAAATTAATAAATTAAAATAACATAAATAAAATTATAATGTAAATAAGATAAAAAATAATTTAATTTAGATAAATAAAATAATTATATTAAGATAAATAAAATAATTAAATTAAAACTAAATAAATAATAAAAATAAGAAATAGTAAAAAAAAAATACAAAAATTTAATTAACTGAAAAAAAAAACAAAAAAAGTTTAAAATAAATATTTAAAGTAAGTAAGAAAGCAAATCAGACTACGTGAATGCTTTTGATATCTTAATTACCTTGATATACATACATATGTATATGTTCATAGGTGGATTGCCGATTTGCAATCAAAATTAAATTGTTTCTGCGCACTATTACACTGGTAACAGCAACGGTATACACACACACCTGTACGCCCGCACGACTATAACGCTAAATGTACGCACTCATGTATGTATATTGGCTCCTGTTTCTGCTCCAATAATGTTGCAAGGTCAACAATGCCACTGATTGTGCCACTACCGGCTGCAGCCTAACTCATTTCAGATGGTAAATCGACTGTCTGCCAACCACCCATGAAATCGAAAGGTACTCAATATACATACAGACATATATACATACATACATATGTACATGTATGTATTGCAGATTAATTGCTACTCAACGTCCTTTTTGTTTAACTTTCACTTTTTGTTTTTCCTCTCTCGTATGTATATACGTTCATCATTTGTATCATTATCTATTTAACGCTTAACTCTCTAAAAGCGCATTTTACATGCCTCCCACACGTCCATACATATATAATAAAAT